GGGCACGGGATCGACTTGGAGTAATTCCCCCCCAGCAGCTGCAGCGGGGGGCCCAAAGGGGTCAGACGTACAGTAACACTTGACCCCAACTCTGTGTATGTGTGTGGAACAACCATCCCACCCTCCCACTAACTCCGGTCCCTGCAGACCAGCAAAAAGGGCAGTAACCTCTGAAGGCTTTGTTTGGTTGGCCGGAGTCTGAGCATAGGCCCACCATTGTAAGTCTGAGGACTCCTATGCTCGAGCTCTTGTTTTCTTTGGGAAGCAGGAAATTGGATGACTGGCTACCTGCTACAACAACATCCTGTACTTGAGAAGGCGTCTTTTCACCCATACCCACCTATTATTTCCCTTTTCCATCATACACAAGTGGTAAGCCAGCATTTTTTTTTCTCCTTCTTTCTTTTTTGTTTTCCACTCGTCCTCGGGGCCCCGTGCGTAGGTTTGTCTAGGTTCCACTCAGGTTGAGATCAAATTGGCCCCATCCAGATGCTTCCGTTGAAAATAGTGTGTAGGGGCCAAATACTTCAGCTTTTGGAGCTTGACTCCACCTTGTCAGGTTAATGACCCTTTGTGAGCTCACTGGAATGACAGTGATGGTGTGCAAAAATGAATGTTCCTATTCAGACGCTCAAACATACTCACATCCACTTATAGCTCCGCCAGTGCTTTTCAGGTCACTGTAGACCAATCACCGTGATCTGTGTTGGGTCTACGGGAGACCACTTGCCACTATGAAAACATTCTTAAGGATTACCGTGCTATATAGACAGGATCTGTGTGGGCGTTGATGAGAGCTGATTCCAATCTGACCTCAGGGATATCCGACCTGCATTTGAGATATTAATGAAGATAATTATGCCATCATCAGGTGGGACGTTGGAGGTTGCAGGACTGCTCATGGACTACATAATCCTTCTTGATGAGGTTTTCTTGGAGAGACCCTCTTATATTGTAACCGTTTCACTGCACCTGGGACCATGTAACCATTGCCCATGAGGCCACAATGCACATATATCTGCACATTTACATGAATGCTTTTAGCCTCATTATCAAAATAAATAAATTCATAATTCAGGCTGACATCATGTTGACACAAAATGACTTTGTATGTAGGAGACTGCCTGCTGCTGAAAACAAGACATGGCATCAGTGTGAATGCACCAAATTACTAAGGCCAAAAGCAACATTAGGGCTGTGTTAGCAGCATTTTTGTGGATTAAATACTTTTATTGGCGATGCGAATGGATTAAACATAAAAAACAGAAACAGCCAGTGTTATTTCTATGTGTATTTCTATGTGAATTGCCATGAATATCCAAAGCATGTGATGTTAATTACCTTGAGTCAAGACTTCTCTTCCGCTTCCAGCTTCCAACACTCATTAGCAACATTAGCCAATGTTAGCTTTTAAATGGAACAATCGCTAATGTCAACAAATGACTGGCTCCAAGTGCAACACAGGTTCCAATGCAAATTCCAACACAAACTCTCCAAAAACAAAAACTATCCTGATTTTAGATTTAGTTATGCTGCATTCAGTTTACCTCGGAAGTTTGAGCTGGGAATGACATCACTCACAAGTTGAGCGAGTTCTAATCGCAAAGTCGGAAAAGCTAGGAATAACAGGATTTGTTTTCCGCCGTACCAAGGTAAAAAAATTATGCATTACTATCAATACAGCACAAGGCATGTTTTTTTTTATGTGTGTGTGTGTGTGTGTGTATGTATTTGTGATTGGCCTATTTAGCCAGTCGCAAATACACAACAGTGGCTGTGGCAGCTAAGTTACAGCTAGCTCAGAAGTTGCCTAACTTTAAGCTTCTTATATACTGGAAATGGTTTGCTAATTGCACGCCGCTTTGCAGCTGACAGCTGGATGCTTGTGGACATTGCAGGCCCTGATTGCCTGGGTAATCCTCTAACATATTTACTACCAGGTCATATGTCAATCAGCTGTATTCCTTGCTGTATTTGGTAGTTGTTGCAATTGCTTGGAAGTTGAGAAAGGTTTCTCTTGGTCCCACCCAATTGCTGTCACCAGTGATTATTTCACTCTTAGTCGCTTGGAGTGAGGAATGTTATTCAGTTTCTCAGGTCTCTGGTTTCAACGTCACCAGTGTGGATTTCAGTTTCAGTTTCGCTTACTATAGCCGTTATTTACAGTGGTTGAATGGGCTATCTTGCAAGTTAAATTTAGCCAAGAATTAAAAAAAGTCTGAAATAAAAGTGATATACAGTAGTAGGCAAAAAAAAAAAAAAACAAGTAGGCAGTAGATAGCATTGATAAATTTGATGATTAGGTCAATGTTTTTGTCATAGTAATGCTCAGGTATATAATCTGACATAAAATAGCCCAATGCCATAGAACAACACTGTCCTGTGTATATTTAATCAGTGTTCACACAGCTGGCACATATATGCAGCATGCAAACAGGAGCTGCAGGGTGTTGACTTTAGTACACAGTGGCCATGTGGCTCATAACTAATCA